CATTTGGACATGACTCACTCCTCCCCAAAATGTCCACCACCATGGCATAAGAAAGACATCAATCTGTCCAGTTTTAAAAACCAAATATGCTCAATCTAAAATATAAGATTAGCCATGTCTTGTTTTCCAACTGTTTGAAAACAAAACAAAGAAGGAGGTGTTCAGGGCTGATTATTTGTCATCTACTATTACTACACAACTTGACATCTTGCTTTTGAAGTTCACAAGATTTCAAGCTATGTCAGTAGAAGATATGGAACTTGACTATATGAGAAAACCCTCAGTGAGCATATTATTTCATTGTTGAAAGGAATGTGAGACTCAATAAGAGCAGATAAATTATGCTGTATATGAGCCACTCTATGTGACATCTTTTTATAACATCTTTGACCAGTCACAGTCTCTTTCACATCCAAATAATGTTGCTGATCTCACTTAAAACACTTCTGATAGTTTTATGGCACATTCAAGTCAGCATTTGGAGAAATCATATGAGAACATCTTGCACTGCAGTGATACCATCTGGTTCAATCCTTTTGGTCTAAAAGAGGAGGAGACTGATAATACAGAGGCTCACTGGCAGTGACATAGACTCCAGAGCAAAGATCCCACCAGGTTCAACCACTGGTTCAACTCTCTTGTGTTGAAGGCCAACAAGACTCTCTATCACAGCACTGTTCATGATGAACAAACTAAGAGTGCATTCATAGATATGCCATTAGCTGGCCCATTGGAGTTAACAATGATGATAGGTCATTTGTACCTACAGCATAACCTCTCATGATATCTGCCCACACCAGTCATCTATGCTTCTATTTCAGAAGTCCTCACTACAGTACTCAGCTGGCTTGGTGGAGGATTGCTCTTCATACTTATGCCTCATGCACATGTATTGTAGTTGAAGAAGGGAAGTATGGTCTAAATATCAGAATATATCTACAAAGTTCTGTTTTATTTTTTTTCAGAATGAGAACAGTATTCCAAACTTGCTTCTAAGACCAAGAAAAACTGAAGATACATTTAACAGAGCACTGAGCTTCATAATATCACTGCTGGCTTTCTTCAGATCAGTGGTTCCTTATCAGTGAGTGGAAGATAACCATTGCACTATTTGATAGTGATAGCAAGATGATAGAGGATTCTGCTGCTAGAGGCTGAGCACTGAGACCAGGATGGTAGTGAAAAGAAGAAAGGAAAGACAGAAAGATAACAGATAGACAATCATCATAGTGTCATGACAACCTCATCCACCCATCAAATAATAACAGAATATAATCTCTTCTAACAGAGACTGCCTTTTTTAGCCACCCATATATAGGCTTGCACTTGAAGAAGACTGGTAAGGAACTACCTATGCATCTTTCAGGCCTTTTTGTTTCTTTTTGTAACTGAGTGAGAACACTGTACTGGTCACATTTCATTTTCTACTGCATCTGAATCTCTGGATTGCCAAGGCAATAGCCATGAGAGATACTCTCTTGTATGTCTCCATTGGTCCTATCACATTGTGACACTGACTCATGTTTTCAGATGTTGTAGATTCTGCAAGCACATATTTGTCTAATGATTATGATAGCTACACCATATGGTTACACTGTCCTCATAAAATTAATATGAATACACATCTCTGCTCTCTAACTGCTTTGATTTATATGTATCAACAAGTTCTCACTATGGTTTCATGATGCTAGAGAGGAGTTGAGAGATACTTTTGGTGAGAGACAGATCATTTATATGAAACCAGATTAAGGTAAGATTTCCAGGCCACTCATTTGTGGTGGGTCTAACCATTTTTATTGCAGATTATTGGAGAATATACAAATTTATCTATAAGGCATCATTTGTCCACAGAGCAAAATAGTTGTTCTGACAGGCTTACAATGATGAGAGAGTTCAGTGTTAGCTGGAGATGATGCAGACAGCCAGTATGTGACTTGCTTGTATCACTTATATTGGTATCTTTGTCTTAACTTGGACAAAAGTCAGTAGTTCAGCTAAATGAGACAAGCTCTCTCATTCTCTCAGTCACAGTAGATGTTGCTGCTCATATCTATCTATTTTCTTTGGGTTTTTTGCAGGAAAGATATGAGGACACAAAAAAGACATTCATCATTGTTCATTTCATATGGGCTTGACTGTAAGCATCTCTGAATCCTGGAGCATCAGCTATACTGAATGAGATTTTACAACTGCAAATTGTGAAGTGACTACATAGTTATGTTACTTCATCTTCCAAATTCATCTCTCATCCTTCCTAGAGAAAGACTGCAAGACTCTAAAACTAGTGTCTAAATTCAGCCAGATAGATTGATCTTTAATCCTTTATTGTGGGATCATTCTTTTGACTAGAGGGTGTGGGATTTGACATCTTGGATGAGTAGAAGCCAACTAAGATACTAAATAGTCATTTCAGTGAAAGATGATAGTATGTTATAGGATCAGGCTTAGCCTGGTTTCTATGATGTAAGTGTACTTACTTTGACTGCAGCTCTATCTATATCTGTACATTCTGACATCTTTCAGATTAATGCTACTGGACCTAATGGATGGTAGTGAGTCATTATCCATAAAATCATGCCTTATGACATCATAACCCACTTCTATTAGCAAGCTAAATCCACCAGGAGTCAACATGCATCCTGTGAATCTAATAGTGCACCCTTGCCATAATTTTGAACACTGCCTAATGAATGTGCTTCTATTGGTATCTCCTAAGGATTATCACTTCTGAGAGTAGACTTCTTTATCCCATTGTAGGTCAGAATCTCAGCTTCCATCCATTTCTATTCTCAATCAAGTAATAATGTTTACACCAGTGACTGTCATCTGATTCTCAGATGATCACAAACCTTCAGTAGAAACATGTCCATTCTACCAAGAAGGAGATGTTAAGTACTTTGATTCAGAGATATTATGAGTTATTTTGAATGTCTGTTATTGTTCTCCATTTACTTTAGAAGTGATCCTGAAGCTATATTCTTTCATCTACATTAGATGAGTGTGAATCAGCTTGCCCTTTTGTGATTAGCTGTTGGGTCAGAATCTACTGGACATATTTCAAATTCTAGTAAGACTGATGTGGATGCACAAAGAAAGATAGTACAAAGCAAGAGCAGTGCTTATTCTTCATGATACATATATAGGGAGACTGTGACAGAAAATCCATCTTTCCTTTCCTTTCACCTCACATTCCAAGCTTGCTTGATTGATCCTTCATTTCTTTTCATTGCATTGACTATGCACTTCCAATTTTCAGAAGACATACAAATATCTCTTGAGTGTCTGGAATTTTGACTGTTTGGCTTATATATAACTTGATAGACTATGGAGCCAAATCTACAATGTATTAAGAAGACCATGGAGGAGCTTAATGCCACCTCTAGAGCACAGACTCGAGTCTGTCAAGTATGAGGTCTAGATGCCCATGGATGGCCCCGGTGGGCCTTCAAACATGGCACTATCAAACAGAGTCCTATGGCCAAGGACACAGAGACATGCTTCTCTGATAGAAGGCATCTTTTGGTGCCTCCTTGACGATTTTACTCTGGGCATCATGAAGATCATCTTTGTATCTATTTTCTCTGCCCCTGCGTTCGGACTATCGACGTCTCTCTCGACCGTCGATCCACAGTGGACTAAAGCCCAAGACATGAACTTTTGAAGGATCACGTAAGTCCTCAAGGTTTGCTTCAATCTATGATCATCGAGTCGCAATAGCGGACTTTGATAACGGACAATCCAGCGCTGCCGTCACATTTGATCAGCACTGTCTTGTTGGATGGAAAGGTGGATTTCTTGTACACTCTGAAGCTACCGTGACAATTCCATTACCTGAGTCTCGTGATTTTCTCCGGAGATTTCATCCGTTTCGCTTGCCAGCACCTGAACTATGTATGGTACGACGTGCTGGAGAAGTACGTATCTGTCTTCTAAGCTTGCTTCAATTGCTTACGGAACTCGTAGATTCAAGTCTGATAGTTTTCGGTGTGTCCTTGTCAGCTGAAGGGAAAGTCAGGCATCCGGATTCAACGGGAGATACCAACTTGCTTTGTGACATTGTATTAGTAGAATGCCGTCAGATCGATGTGATTAGGAGATGCGACTTCCTTTGTATTCAGGGCTGACAGTCCTCAGTGCACTATTAATAGCAATGGATGAGCGATATGACGGCGGAAAACATTGCAGTATACAGAGACTTGTCATCATCCGTTCCGGGTATGTCTTCATACTGCTGCTCCGTTTGTTAATTTTGGTCTCGTGCTGAACCTATTTTTCGCTCCATGCTCCCCAACCCAGGCCTTGGTTAGGCACAGCAATTCTGATGCTTAGCTCTCAAGTGGTGTTGTGGTGTTTATCGGAGTCATAGTAGTCATTGCCATCCCGAACATCCCGGGAAGGATTCTGAGATGCGATTTTCGAGACAAGCAAACCTCATGCCTATGGCGGTATCGACGAGACGAATCTGTAGTCTTAAGATGGTAAGAAGCAATTCGGCTTGTATGTATATTGGTCGACCTTTTGCTTCAGGGACTACTTTCGCTGTAATGTCATGAACTCGCCTGCGAATTGAAAACGCTCGTGCCATCCATGATTGAGTTGGCGTTACCGAGTTGCTATTCCTATTTCTCGGCAGTGAGCGCCGGGATAAGACTTCCGGTAGCACCGGGGACTCGGTCTCAGACCCGTGGGTCTTTACCTGAAACTTGATATGCCCCGACTCAAATGGAGATTTATTTACTCCGCTGAGACGCTTGGTAGTATGTAGTGTGCGAAGAAAGCCCGAGACATCGCAACATCAGAGTCGAGTTTTATTTTCTTGCCCTTTGTGCATCTAATTTTTTAACTCACAGCTCTCCAACTCTTGAAATGACCTCGTCATTTCCATCCCAACCTTCACTCTCCATTGAGACACTATCCGAGTCACAAGCGCCTAAAGTTATATTGAATAGGGCTGTGTCGCTCGGGATTAGGGTGGGGACAATGAAACCTTAAAATGCACAGCCAAGACCTGTGTCGCAGAGGGAATATGTTATCACCCAGTCAGAAAAGACCCGCAGCGCTGTTAACATAAGACTGAAACTCACACGGCGCTACTATTCAGAGCTACATTTCCCAACAGTGGAGCGTGCCAGTGCGATACCAATGGCAAGCGTGAATAGCATAAATGCCCAGAGCAAGGTATGTCACAATCAGAACTTCCATTTTCAGATGCTCATTGCAGAGCACAGGCATATGGGGATGTTCATTTGCGCGATGAGCTACCAATCAGTTCTGATGCGCTTCCGCCGTATGAAGCCGAAGACCAGTCACCTCCTACATATTCAAGTTTGAGAAGGCATCCTCCATCTCGATATCTCTGTCTGTGCGGTATTTGTACGTTACTACACTTCATATTCGTTTTCACACATTCATTTCATGCCCTAGTATGCCCTCTTCTCTGGATTATTGGTGCTCTCGTCCTGTGGTTTCCATTACGGCACCTGTTTCCTTGTTTATTTTCCCTGCGACGACAGAACGCCGATGATGCCATATCGAGGGGAATACGGAGAGATGAGGTGCAATGGGCTAGTGTTTGCCTAACTCTAAGCGGTGCTCTCCTTTTCATCGGAACGTGTATTTTCGTCATAAGTTACTGTGCTTGATACCAAATATTGATCACACCAGGAATGTGTCACGGAATACGTTACCGCGCGCCCAGGCTGGGCGCGGTGGATCGTGGGTAAAGGACTCAACAGTATAGTTTTAAATGTCCATACAGTATAACGAGTCATAAGAATCAAGAGCCATCTGATGGTAACGAGAAGGGAGTTTCATCCAAACATCAGGCTTACAGCTCATTATGCACGTCTATCATGTACACTGAGATTTTGTTAGCCCAATAGTACATGCTCGGTAATTGTGTACGACGAAGAAAAGGCTAGAGTCTTATCGAGGATAGGTGGCGTTGCCGATATTGCCGTCGAAGAGGTCGTTTGAAAAATGAGAAGGCGGCACCTTTTCATGAATCGAATCCATTATGACCATCTTCGCCACAAAAGGCCGATCAAAATTACACTAAGCCGACCGCCGCTAGTACTCAATGAGGTCCCCAGCAATGTTATCGATATGAGATGGTAAGGAATGATATTAAATCTCTGAGAAAGTCATTAGTTAGCGCGCCGTAAGCAATATAATTAGCCACATGCTTAAGATAGAAGATATAGCCTAGCCTCCCATCACGAATCCTGAGCAGTATGTTGATACCGGGACAGACAGGATCAAAAGAATCCGCAAACCTCGCCTGTCCGCCAATCGCAGACCCATCGTAGGTGCTGCATGTTCGAAGGCCAAACCGAGTGAGTCCAGCTTTTGTTTCTAACAAGCTTGGACGCCACTGTGGTCCAGCGGCGCAGCAGCAGCAGTCAGCATCATCTAATCTAAAATAGTATCAAGGCCGCAGGATATGGACCAGTTGAAGTGCCCTGCAGCTTAAGAGAATTGGCTTGATATGCGTCGGTGTCAAACTATAGTCCAAAATTTCAGCTAATAGAACAATGTCATCTATTGGGTGTTCAAGATAAAATCGATCCGATTCGTGTACCTCAGGTGGAAGCTCGTTCGCAATGGAAAGAACTTTGTGAGGTGTACGTAGATACTAGAAATTAGATCTATGCTGAAAATTGCATTGTGACGAAGAGAAACGGCATAGTGCTTACAGAACCCTCCATAAAGCGCATCCCAAGTGTTATATATCTGCAGAACGATTATAGACATAGGTACACGAAGATGTAGAGCGACCCGTACATCTAAAGAACGAAGGACTTAGCCGTGGAATGTTCGGCAAGTGCCATTCACTTATCCCCAGTAACAAACAACACGACGAGAACGAAACAGCATAGGCTGAGGCGATGGAAGGCATCATCCTTCTTTCCTATCAACACGCCCATCTCCGACATCGCATTGATACCTATAGTGCATAGATAGCCAACGTGGTCGTGTTCGTTTTATTCAGGTTAGCAGGGTCCGATCTAAGAAAAGATGCAACATCAAACAGAGGAAATGATGTGATGCTTGCTAGTATGCGTCAGTAGGAACCAGCGTGATTGACCTCAGTTCGCCCACTTCCGCTACAGATCCACTGTACCACGCAGATGAAATCAAAGCAAGGACGGAAGGGGTAATTGCAAGGAACATGATTCCCTATTAAGACAAGTCTCCGCTAAATCTTGCGTGAACCCACGTCTCTGAGTCTGGGGCCTATGGGATTAAGAGTACCGCCGCCGAATGAGAATATCTATTCGCCTTCGATAGCACTAGGGTTAGCGATGGCATTATGACACGACAACCCTGTATTAGAATAACAGTGTGTTGAGTACCAAAGGCAGAAGAAAGGACATACAAGATCTGGGGTGGCGAGCATAGGGACGAATGATGGGAGCATAGAACGGGTTCAAGCCGGTAACCACGTTGAAGTAAAGAAAGGCAGGGAAAGCTGCACTTCCTCAGGGTTTATTCGCCTGGAAGAGTATCAGCAAGTTGTCAAAGAAGATGGAATGAAGTACATACTGCGAAGAACCTACCTCCTTCGGAAACCTCATGACTCCTTCAGTTACAGTCCCCAATTACCTACCAGACTTGGGCATGGCGACATTGCGCGCCGAACAGAAAGAGATGCCAAGTCGATGAGTTAGATTTCTACATTGCTCGAGGTCGCAGAAACCTGGATGAAATCAGGTTCAATGCTCGTTACCGAGCGTATGCCAGGTCGTCAAGGAAAGAGAGAAGAGGCCCGAGGCCCGAGTCGCTAGACACCTTGACGTAAAAGGTACTTCACCGCGGCACTGGACTCAGTCCAAAAGTACGAGCTGGTAGCTGGATATCGTCTTCCTGATCGTGGTGACTAAACCCATCGTCCAAACTATTGTCGCTGAAGACGCCGTAGGCTGATATTTCTCACATCGATAGAGATCCCCAGGAAGGAGTTGTCTCAATGACAAGATTCACTAACCTTAAGCATAGTCGTTGATACTGCAAAACACCACGTCTACGAGCGGCCGTGGTCTGAAGTCCGAGTTGCCCGAAGGAGCATATCTTAGGTGAACTCACAGGTCAGGTTAGCACCCTGAGTTTCAAGGACCAATATGAGTAAGACGCTGACGAGATACACTCTCGCGTATGATATTGATTTTCGTGAAAGCCTCCGGATCCATACGTACACGCGGTGTTCCGTTCAATACAGAGTTTTAATTTCCTGGAATCCGTTCTGTAGTAAATGCTTGTGATAACGAACACCGTGGCACCACGCATACACTCACCAAAACTTATGTTAGAGTACAGCTGTACCGAGTGTTTTTTTTCATCATTAGGTACCGCATCCGTGGAAACCTGAATGAATGTAAGTGATTAAGGGACCGCATCTGATGGCTTAAAAAATTCTGAGCGGCGCTTTCAAAGGAAGGAACGCGAAGATACAAAACATCGCAACTGGGCTTTTTTTCAGAGTCAGTCGAACAACATGTATGAACAGCAGAGGAGGCTAAAATTGTCTGTGAATCAATGCATGAAAGTTTGCTAGTTATTTGGTGAATTGAAGAGGCACCACAAAAGAGTGATCAGAAACGCAGATACAGACCCGCCGGGCTTGGAAGTCTGTACTACCCGTGTTCTTCAAGTTTGATTGTTATCACAACAACGTCCGTTGCTGTGATGTTCGGGACTGAAACGCGGCAAGACTGAAGCACTGTTGATCAACAATGGAGTTCATGGCATTGATATGCTATCTATCCTCTGTGCACATATAGCCGTGCCTCTACATTGGATTTCTTGAAGCCCAGCGAAGAATCGATCCCGAAGATGGTAGAACTTGTGACCTGTAACATGAGAAGGCCAACAACGAAGATAAAGGAAAAAACTTCGAAGACGGTTCTAGAAGGTTTACCTGCAGGGAAAAAGCATGGAAATTCTGTGCGATACAGTTATATGAGATGGGCTCCAAAAATCAATGCCATTTGTTTGGTCCACTTACGGGCGGTCTACATTACACAGCGGAGCTGTCTATTATATTAGAATTCAGATATTCTTATCAACAGAAGTAAGGAAGTTTACAGGCTCCCAAGTCAGCGTTAATGGTTGATTGCTGGTTGAGGAAAGCTGTACAAGGAAGCTCCGAAACGGGTTATGATTTCTCACGGGCATATTTTCGATGGGACTCGGATTTCGGGCCGTCGGCATAGCCCGGAACTTAAACCTAATCCACCGTGTACCTCGTCTACAGGTAGCCCTTACTAGCCTTGACTGTCGACTAGAGTGGTGACACTGTATCTGGGAACTCTTTTTCACCGACTACAGTCTAGATGTATCCGAAGATCAAGGACCGAGACTAGTCTGACCTGAATTCCTTAGTACGAAGGGCATCTTCCTTCAAGATCATACTACCGGTATGTCATTCTAAACTGTTGGGCGCTATATATTTTATATTAATCGTATTTTCGGACAACTCCATCTATATGACACGACAGACCGAACCATACAGTAGCGGCCAGATCCCAAGCAATATTCAGCACTTAGAGCTTAATGAACTTGGTGTTCGAGATCTTTTCTTCGTCTCGGTGGAAGCGTGACCTTTGGTACTTCGCTCGCTTACCTTGCTATTATTGCTAGGCCGCGGATTTCTCATCTTTGCGCCTTACTGATGACAGCATTCTTCCGCCAGGGCACTTCTGCTCGCTAAGCTCCGCCTCTCTCGTAGAGATGCCTTGACTGCCGTGTAATGCTACCTACCTACCTATCCAATAGCCTGGGAGGTGCTACTTAAGACTCTTATTCTCATTCTTGCGATGCTTTGCTTCTTCAATTACCGGTCGTTCCTTCTTCAATCTTACCGGCACCGGGGATCGTTAAGAACGATCAAACTTCCATATCACCAGTCATATGTTTTGTTGCGCTCATTCGTGTCCATTTCTGCTTTCATTGATTTCTAGCCGGTTTTCCTCGGTTTTCCTTGGTTTTCCCTTCAAGTTAGCCTTTAGTACCCCATTTATCTTAGTGAAACGCCCTGTGCACACGGCCCGTAGGCCTGCGCTAAGCGATGCTTGTGCAGATGTTTTCCAATATTGCTAAAGCGTATCGGGTTCATATGACATTTTCCGGCAATCATCCTTCCCCGCCTAATGAAGGCAATTTAGTATGTACGGCCTTTTCCCTGCATGTTGTCCAAAAATGCTGATCAAACGAGGAAGGTTCTATGAACACTTTCCAACTTCCACGCCGCAAACGTACACTCACAATTGGCTGAATCTGTCTTCCCGATATAGAGAGAAGTTGTACGAGGCCAATTTCTCGCGTGTTCTATGTTCATACATAAGATCACGGCCTTACCTTTCTAAGACCCTTACACTCCGACGCTCGTATGAAATCCATACTCGTGTCTGCCTCGGCAATTGCGGATCAGGGGATGGATTTTGGATAACCGAACATATAAGATGCCGTCTCTTCATTCCATTTTCACCAAGCACCTAGATGTCTTCCTTTGTCAAAATAGCCCTCCTTTTCTCGTCTATGGTTTCTATCCATGTCGGACTTACTCCTCCAAATCGACCTCCCCCCGTTGATGTTCAATTCATACCCACAGAGAAAGGGTCGGTTCGGACCAGCGAGGTCGTTCTGAGACGAATACTGTCTTCAGGTGGCCCGTCGACCTACTTCAAGGTACAATATTTTCGATTTTCATCGATAATATCGATGGGCTAAACTTTTCATTCCTTTCGCAGGCACTATTCTGGACTGTCTGCACATTAGAATCCATACTTATTCTCTCCGTATCTTATCCCAAGTCGTCCGCATCCCAGCTCTTGGCATCCATCTTCCCCACCTCAATCACCATATGCTATTCAACACCCTTCGCCGTCATCTGTACCCTCATCACGCTCTCCGGAGGCTTCCTTCGCGTGCATTGCTTCCGCGCATTAGGCAGATTCTTCACCTTCGAGCTCTCTCGGCAAGAGAACCACAAGCTCATTACCTCGGGAGCCTATTCTCTTGTCCGACATCCTTCCTATCTTGGCGCATTGCTCACGTTCGCTGGTGCCATGCCGCTATTTGCAGGTCCAGGCTCCTGGATTTGGGAGAGCGGTATCCTAAAGACTATTTGGGGCGTTGCGGGGGTCGGTGGGTGGTACGGCGGGATCGTTCTCATGCTAGGAACGCTGATGTTCAGGCTGAAGAGTGAGGATGAGTTCATGCGGAGAGAATTCGGGAAGGAATGGGAAAAATGGGCCGATGAGGTGCCATACCGGTTGATTCCAATGGTTTACTGAATTCAAATAGAGCATCACGATTTTTTCTCCTACCAGTTGATGGTGGCAATTTCTGTTGGATTTGGCGTCCGGACCGTAACCATGAATGTTTTTGCACATAACGATACTCACCCCTATCGTCAGCTGAATGAAGTGGCGTGGGGCGTTTATCAAGTTCTCTGGTCTCCATCAGCTCCTTCTCTCCAACGCGATAGCCCTGTAAAGATGAGTGGTTGTGTTTCCGACCATCTGGAGCGTCTCTGCGGCTGCATTACCGAGTTCTATTACTAGCATCTCGGGTTTGATGAGACAACTAGAGTCCCCCATACAATTCTAGGCCAAAGTCTCGGGTTCGCCACTTTCTGCACAAACGTTGCCGCGACGACGGCGTTCACCGACTTGAATGGCTGACATCCGCCACCCCGCATGTCGTGTTGTATGCCATTGATCAATGTCTGTCTTTCAGCTTTTTTTTTGCGGAAAGATAAGGTCCGTCGGGAGGCTTGTCGGAGGGGATGATTGATATTCCCTGTGAGAACTTTTTAGCGCTCGCTTCCGACGGAGCGATCTGTTCTGTGGCCGTGTATCTCCTCTGGATCTATGCGACTTCTCCCGCCTTGGACTATGTGACATTTGTACAGGTATAACTCGTGACCGTTCAACTATGATTCTATCACGGCTGTGGCAGCGCTGAAGGGTCGGGACGATACAGATGAGTAGGTTCCTTACATGATCTGAAGTGCCAGATCTTTCAACTCGTCTTGCTTGCGATGTGATTGCGTCACCTTTCAGCCCTCGTTCACATGGAATGTCTTCGGATATCTGTGAATGGGGGTACATTCCATGCAACGGCGCTTAGGGCTGTACAAGACGTTTACCGATATACGCGACGGCGAACATTATTCCAATGCTGCCGAGGGTTATTTTTTCGATCGCGCCCCCATAAAGGATGCTCTGCTGTATGGCTCATGGCATTCCTCGAAGTCGAACGATTCAGAGGATCGCCTCCCGGGGCTATGGCAACGTACCCGAGTGCTCGCTCCGTGAATTATCCGATGAGGGCGTGGCATGATTCCCAGGTGGTTTAAGGATCTGCCTTGTAAGTGGTTAGAGAGGCTTTTCACAGCTCACGTGCTCGTTCACTAGCTGTTTCTGGGATGACAATCCGTGATGTCCTCACAGGCCCTCGCTTGGTCGTGCCTGCGAAGCGGACACTCGGAAAATTAGGATGCATCATTCACGCTAGTACGTTCGATAAAACCGTGGAGATCTTTCCGTTTAAATTTATAACACGCGAAGAAAGCTGTCGCGTGCAGCGAAGGTGAGCTCGCGTTTGATGGGTTAGAGTAAAATTTAACTCTTTGAGTTAGGACTTAATATCCAAGTTGGACTTTCTAGCGTCTACGGGACTAGGCCTAGCAATCGCGTAGCAAAACAAGTACCGATGACGTTTTTGCTAGGCAACTGCAGGAATGTTTCGTGGCCGAGTCCAAGCCCCGGGACTTCGAGAAGTCTGGGCCTTTATGCGCTACACATAGTCTCGGGCTAGCAAAGTGCGCTGAGATGATTCAAGTCGAGCCCACCATTTCCTGCTCCATGAAGTCTTTGCGTGGTCTGGGTTGATGGCCTTCGTAGTCTGAGTCGATACTAAGGCTTAGCTCCGAGCGCCCGGGCCCGATGCCAGAATACGTAGGAAGGGAAGTATGGGCGATACTACGCATCATAAGATTCCACGCGTGGCATGCTCGCAGAGCCGTCAGCTACTTTGTTACACTGCACCCTGCACTGATTCCTGGTGCAAGAATATTGTTAGATTACTCAAGGAGAGGAGGAAATGCAAAGGAAAGGGACTAGCACCCCATAGGGCGTGCTGTTGAAATACGAAATCTTAAAAAAGTGAAAAACAAGGGCTATTTGACGTGCGGAGGTGACAGTTGCTACGCGTCGGTTTTATGCAGGGTGTAATGCTGCGACCGTTAGACACATGGAATTCCACTCTATTGTGTATATAAAATGGCCACTCCCAGAGCAACATCTTTAAAAATTTGAATGTCGAAGAAGGCGTGTGTTGGTGTTATTGTGAGAGAGGCAGAATAGCTCCGGCAACCCGGACCGCCTTCTCTATTATGACGTTTCACACAACGTGGCGTAGGTATCAAGCTTATTGACTTTTGACAGTCATCTATCTCATCCACTTTGTAACCAAGTAGCCGTCTATCACACGTAGCTTTAAACTGACTCGGTACAACCAAATTAACATCCACTTAGATGTCGCATGCAGCACTGGGCAGTGCGAGGGCGTGTTAATTATACGGTGACCCCACATTACGGTAGTCATATCCTGAAAATCCAATCAGCATGAGTCTCATGCTTCGACTTCATGAATCCAGGGACTGGGAGCCTCGAGATTCGCTTCTGGACGTCATCCGGAGATTGAAGGACTCCCTCGTAATTCCCCTCGAGGTCAGCTTTTTTTCCATGTCGTGATGTTGAAATTGGTTCAAACTTCTGTTAGACAGGGAGACTTCGCGAACCTCTTCAGTATCGTGGTTGTTTCGAAAAAAAAAAAGAGAAAAACGCAAAAGGAGCCAGGTTGATTCAGCCCAGCCTTATAACTCCCCGACTTTTCATTGAAATACTTTACGTCCTGCGGCGCACTGCGCCAATAAAGAGCTGACTGTTTACTAGTAGAAGTTGATCCGATCAATTCAGCTGTTCGTTGAAACGCCGGCTGGACATTCCAGGACGTTCCACAGCAGAAAACATGCCCTTTGAGCGTGTGCGGCCGCGCCAGAAAATCGTGTGTAAGTCGTGGTCTTGCCCATTTTTTGTGACACGCCCTTCATCTCTGGGAGCTGGACTCATTTTTACTTATTTGAAGTGCAACTCAGGGCTCTTCTCCCGCCCGGAGAAGCCGTTCATTACCTCGACACAACCTTTCTTGAATGGAAGGTCGATGGCCGGACGTAACAACGCTGTTCGGCATACAAAAGGCTCATAAAATCCGTGTTCTCCGTGGGGCGCTTGAGTAAGGCGGACGCGTTTCTGGTACCACATCGTGCCGCAAATTTGTCACCCACTATCACGATACTGTCACCTTGACCTTGACGCGGGAACCCAAACAGTGTCCATCCCCACTATACAATCAATTCCAGGTGTGTATGTAACTTCCTTGTATTTCTCGAGTCAATCCACTCTGTTCCTCTTTCGTCCTCTCCTGACTGTTCACAATTTTTCTCGGTTGCAGATTTATTGGCGTCATATCGTTGTACAATGGATTTCAACTTTGATACCCCCTCCAGCACTCCCAGTCTTCTGTTTTCCGACTTCACTGCCAACCTACCACCCTCTACGAACAAGTCTGCAGCAGTAGACGTGTCCAAATTTCACTTGGATGGCTTCAGTGACTTCAATCTCGACCTATCGGTTCTCTCCAGGCCCGTGTCCCCCGCATCCTCTCCATCTCTTCATGCTTCTACATCCTCTGGACAAGATCTACCAGCCTCTCGCAGTCCGTCTCCTTCGACTACATCCCATCCAGTGCCAAGCGATTCAGAATCGAACAATCTTTTAAGGAGAGTGGCGTCGGGCAGGCTGTCGCCCGCAGCAGTGACGTCGGTCATCCGTGGCTCATGGCCCATGATTTCTCGCATGACAATCGGTCGTGGTACACCTTCCGATCCTACCAGGAAATCTGAATGGGCAGGAATCAGTTACGACGAAGACGGCAGGCTCACGAACAACAACCGGTCAACTTCTACGGATTTGCCAGTACGGCGGTCGCTATCCGACTCTGACTACTATCTACCTACCTCCCCTCAGCCTTTCGTCCTTCCAGAATCCTCCAAGATCCAGCTTGATGGCCTTGGCGCCGTATCTGACCATGCGGAGTGGGACTCACTCATGCAAACGGTTCTCGGCCACGGTCCAGAGACACCCTCTACCTCCACTACCTCCGCACCCGCCACCCCTGCCCCGGCGACACCCAAACCCCAACAACAATCGTCCCTCTCTCCTCTCCCTCTCGCCGACATTGCTCTCGACCCGGAAACGCTAGAAATAGACCTCGGTCTAGAAAAGGCCTTGGACCTAGGATTTGGTCTCGAGAAGAGAAATAAGGATGGTACGGGACGAGGTATGAATTGGTTCGCGTTGGGTATGCTTTCGCGCTCAGGGTTCGATTCACCCTCAGTTTACTCGACCGCATCGCGGCTGCCTACGTCGTCGCGTCCGGTGTCTGTCGTCGACTCACAGACCAATAACCTTTCTCGGCACGAGCAGGAGAGCCAGGAGGAGACAAAGGTTCCTGAGAAAGCCGAGCCGGAACCGGAAGCGAAATCTTCACCGTCCAAGGCCTCGTCCGCCCTTGTGCAGTCGGGTCCCAATACGCACTCACCCTGGTGGAAGAAGATATTGGGCAAGCTGCAGAAACTTTTCAGACCGAAGCAAAATTGATTCTCTTTTTCGTCTCTTTCTTCATCTCGTTGCGCGTAAAAATGGATTTATACCCCCGCGTTTCTTGGCTTTTTTACCCCGTCTCTAGTATATTTTTTTATCTCCTTCGTCGGAATTTGGACACATTTTACCACTGCTGACCCTTTGCGTCGCGTTCACACTCCTTTGCATTCTTTCCATTGTTTTTTATATCAAGAGTCCATTCGTCGCTCCTTACTATACCTTGACGACTTCTATGATCATGTACTGTTCTTTTAGGCGATAGGTTTTCATTACACTTCTACTAATTGCTGGTGTAAAATCAATTTTAAGCGCTTCTTTTGCCGCCCTTACTCCTCTTAGATGTGACTTGAATGACTGCTTGCTGCATCCATGTCAGCTTTGCTATCTAAGAGACTGATAGAAAATCCATGCGTTGGACAGTGAGAGTTAAATGTGAGGTCGGCGGCTTCCTTAGTCAAATATCCCGCAATGCACTTCAGATAAAGTCCTAGACGAAGATAGTACACAAGATTAGAGTCTGGTGGATCCAACTGGTTCCTGGTCTATTAGTCCTTCGAGTCCCAGTCGTACTCGTACCCAAGAAAGCCCAAAAATATTTATTCCTTTATAGAATCCGAACAGACCCGAGGTGTCAAAGAATCTTCGTACGCTGGATAAGTCACGAGTGCCTGCTGGCTTTATGGTTCTGCGTTTGTGGCTCAGATTTGATGCTAATTTAGACAAGCAAGCAGCGCTCTGAGGGCAGTACGTAAATGCTGACTAAAGAAATGAACGCTTGACCGGTAGTCTCCGATTCAGATAGCGTCGAACTATACTGTGCAATGTCAGTTCGCCTCCAGGGACTTCAGAAACTGAATGTTCTTTTTTTTGGAAGATAAAAAAGAATTCTGCATAACGAGCGGTGGCGGGCTATGTATGTAACAGATATGGTTTGAGAAATAAGGGTATCACCTGTCGAGTTTCCGACTATAACTGAAGGATCAAGAATTAGCAAGTAAGAAACGGGCCCTGCTTGTGGCGTCTTTTGGGTCTGGACCTTCAAGTATAGCCCCGGGGGGCCCAGGAGCGACGTACAGTTCCGATTCAACATTGATATAGATGCCATGTTGTCAATACTCCGAGTACTGCAAGTAACCATTTGACCAGGCTACAAGATCCCTCCTCGAACCAGAAACGAAAATCCTGCTCGATATCTTTCCTTCCCTCATCATGCATGATGCCATATCTCATCATGGGGGCCCCTTCTATTATCTATCAAAACTTACTACTATAGGCTAGAACTTGAAGTGAACAGGTATAGTTTGCACCTCATCAGAGATGGTGGCTGGTTCCACCAGCGATGTCAAAATAGAAGATGATACTGATACATCCAAATAGGAACAAAGAATGCCAGTGCTGCAAATTTGTGAGTTGCAAGTACATCAAACTCAGATAAGAGGCAAGGTGCAGTATGTGAATCCAAAAGGTCACAATGAGCATTGGCTGAACCTCTTGACACTCTCCCTGAAGTTGATGCATATTGAAACTAAACTCCAGTGAACCCCATACATTGTAAGAGATCCATTGCATGAGGCTTGGGGGTGGTCTTCCTGAAGATATTGGCAAGATTGCCTTCAGACAGGATATACTTGGTGTCAAGATCCTGTTCCTCCATCCTTTGAATCTCTGCATCCATTGCTGGTACTCATAACTCTGGTGACATGCTCTGAATGTATCCACACATGTGATTTTGCAAAATGTAATAATACATATAATCTATGACATTCCATTACATCAGGAAAAATCCATGAAGCTATGTATAAGTATTGCCTATATAGCTGTTGTAGCTCTGTAGTCAAGTACCCCTTAATGTAACACCCATAGCACTCCTGCAAGTGCTATATAGTGCAATGTAGCATCCCCATAGTTTGCATGTGAGGGCTACATAGCAGAACAATACATGTATATAACAGTACTGTGTTTATATGTACAACTCAGTATTCATTTATACAATAATAATCATCAAGAGATACAGCTCCAAAATGCAGTCCAAATGTATATATTATGGTCATCTAACATGTACATTCAACCTCAGTGTCTGAGTACCCATTGACAGTGTAAATGCATTGCTTCCATTCTTTACAGACTTGATAAAGAATTTGGGATGCTTGCCATCATAGTCATGTTGATTGATGCCTTTTGTACCATTGGCAACCTTAGCAGTGTGAGGCTTCTTCACATTGGAAGGGAGATCAGACTCAGACTAAGAAACTGGTGAAGAGCTGTGAGGTTGCTTATTTTCTGCTACTTGAGATGAGTTGTTAGACATTGGTATATTTACCTCCAGTGGTGGTTCAATGGTAACCACCTCATGAACTGAGTCTAATGTGGCATCATTGTTAGCATCAGAAAGAGAATCTGAATCACCAGAAAGAGAAGATGATTGTGGATGGCTGATGTGATGGATGGGATTTGATCTGAAGTTGATGTGAGGAATATTTGGATCTGATGTATCAAAAGTGGGCAATGACTTGGAGACCATGATTGGAGTGAGTTCTTTTCAGTGAAGTTGTCTGGATGGCATCAAAATAATCCTCTTTGACTGAATCTTTGGTAATGACTGAGAATAGTTTCCTTTATAGAAGACTGTATAGTGATAACACTGACAGAAGATGAAACTCCAATGTGCCACTCATATCATCATCTTTGCTTTCCACATCAGATAGCTAGCAGCTGTTGTGACCATGAGTGTACTCTTCTGCATAATTTTCCCAGAGGTGCTCTAGAGAAATGTCAATAGGGTAAAAGAGGCTAAATATCACACACTATTAGTTTTATTGTTAAAGACTTGCTTCTGCTGAAGCTTCTTATTTTCAGCATTTGTAGCATTTTGATCTGGAAGAATACACAGTGAGATACATACAACCAGAGTAGAGTAGTGAAGACATGCACTAAGATCAGCCTGTTTCTTGCTAAGCTTGCTTAGTTGCTTGCCTCATATATCTGAGCTGGAGACACTGGTTTCAACAGCTTGATGAGGCATTATAAATCATTGATAGTAGCAGAAAGGTGTTATGATTTTTCACTTATTCTTTTTCTCTTTATGCATCAACTCCTATTTATGCTTAGTCAGCACAACAAGCTAATCTGTTATTGTTCTCTGATGCAGTGACCAACCCTCAACAATACACAATCAACCTTTTGTGTACAGTAGTGATGCTCAAGGACAATGGGCACTAGGACTTGAAAACATACAATAGGAAGTAGTATAATTAGCAACAGCTGTAACAGTATTTAAGCAGGCTCACTCTTGCTGGTAATCTTCAGCTTTGAGCTAAAGTTTATTCCACCTCATCCTACTCTTGAGCTACTTTCTAGAAAGGCCTTAAAGCACATTGGTTAACAAAGCACAATAAGTGAACTCTAGTGGAAGTCTCAAATGTAAAGATACACTAGTTTATCATATGTTTCTGATCATATGCAGCTTGAGTCTAACAATTAGCTCAAAGCTTTTACTTCTCTTTTCTCACACACTATAGTGTGGAGGAAACCAGATACCCTCTATCAACCCATCAGATCTGAACTTTGACTGAGAGTTCTTTGAACTTCTTGCTTTCATCATCAGAACACTTTTAGAATTATTGGTGATCATCCAGTTGTGCTGGAAATGCCAATCAATCATTGCCTGGGCTATCAGACATTATTAAGAATTTCAACATGTCTGACACATTCTATGCAATATAACCTCTGATCTCTCACTTTATGATATCCCAAAATCCTGACAAACATCTCATCAGCCACCAACCAGCCCTCTACCCAAAGCCAGACCTAGCAGCTTGCATACAGAGAATGTTCAAAAAGAAGAAGGACACTGATACCTCTAACCAGCTAGCAGAAACTGAGACAATCACCTCACAGAATTCTAAAATCCATGGATCCTGCCTCCTATCTCAAATCATAAGGATGAGGACCTCTCAGTGGACTTCTTTAATGAGTCTCCCTTCTCTGACCCTTTCACTGCCTCTAGAACCCATGGAATTGCTGACCATGCCCAAGATTCTCTAGATGCCACTTGAATGGCTTGGGGATTTCAGCATACTCCTTCTGATGACTATAGAACTCTCAATTCAAGCATTGCCTCAGCACTGCAATCTCTTGGAACTAGCACTGAGATGGAGAGGACTTCATCCCAGTGACTTTATGATCAGCAACAGAGGGAAGCAGCCTGAAATGAAATCATTCACCAGCTCTTTTTAAGCTGGAACCTCAATTGCCTGTTCATCTATAATAAAGCAGTCCAACAAAAAGAGTAGTGAAACCAAGGATGGACAGAGTCTGCAAAAGCATACAGTGAGCTCACAGCTCACATCCATGTGGAGAGGCACTGAGCCTATAAAGAAGCTGAGTGGAACTGACAGCACATAATCAAGGCTGAGCACCTCAGCAGTATATCTCTAGATTGATATGGACTCTGATCTGAACTCTTCCAGTCAACTCCTGTCTTTAGGGAGCCTAGCACCACTGACACTGATTCATGGGCCCCAGGACCCCAAGAAATCCTCATAGCTAATGAGATGTGAAACCAAGAAGACAGAGGAATCCCTCCTCTATCTTGGGATGATGTTCCTTGCTCTGCCACCCACCTTTCATCCCTCAAGTATCCCTCTTCCGATTAAACTCTCAGCTCTGATACTGCCTTCAAGAACAACAAGTCCATTCTCACACACTATAAGCTTCAAGTATATCTCAATGCTTATGTCTCTGCTCATGCCCTCTGAGGCTTCTTCAGAAGCTGAGTCACTCACCAGTTTCTTGATAAGCAGTTCTATAGAAACTTCTGCCTCTATAGTGAGAGAGTGGAGAATGCACAAGCAACAGATGAAAATTGATATAATAGCAAAATTGGAGGCCATTCCCAAGTAAGCTACACCACTGCTGCAGCCTCAATCTCTTTGAGCCCTATTGCTAGACCTAGTATACAGCCAAAGCAGCAGCTCTCCAGCAATGATATGAGTGCTCAGAGTCAAGGAGAATATCTTTGATCAGCCTGTCACTTCTCTTCTTGAGGAAGAGGAGAAAGAGGAAAATCAAGTCAGAGACAATAAGAAAACTGAGAGCAGTGGAGT